CTGGTGGGTGGTCAGTGGTATTACAAATTTCCACTGACCACCGACCAATGCAGGGTGGGGGAAAGGGTTAATTAAAGTGACAGTATACTCAGGAGTTAAATCTTACAAATGCATTCAAGTACCTTAACTATTAACAAAAATGTAGGCTATTTGGACCCTCCCACTTTTTAAAAGAACAAATTTGGACACATAGCTCCGCCCACAATCACTCCCACTGCCAGGTAAGTTTCCAGGTATGATAACAAGCAGTAGTGTAGAATCATGGGTAATAGATGTCCTTTGGGGAATAGGTCAAATCTAAAGGCCTCCTCCATTTACATTCCTGTGAGAAAGTGTGTAGCTACATCACTTCTCCTGGAGAAGACCAAACCACACCATGATCTGTTTTTTTGTAGCTAAGACTACAAACTAAAGTATATTTACACTAGTACTTTATACTGTCAGTTGAAATTGCCCCTAACTGCAGAAGGTACAGATGAGAATAAAAAGCTGCCATACAGACAGATTTTAATTGTTCCACATTCTATCCTAGAGTTTAAAAAAATAGCTGGAGTTCCATTTTTACAGAATAAATCTAAAACAGATGCTTTCTAATTCTAGGGTACTTCTTTGTGGTCGTTCACGTCTCTGCCTTATTTCTGCAGCCATTGCAAAGCCACCCAAGAGGATCTCACTCCTCTGTTAAATGGAAATTCAGGAAAAGTAGGGGAATATAGTTTCGAAAAAGAGACTTTCCTGTAATGACTGTGGCAGGTGGGTGGAGGAGCTGGGAACCCAAATACAGGTATCTAGCAGTCTTAAGTTTCTAAGAAGTTGAGTAAATGACTTTGCTGTCTAGAAATAGGTAGGTGTAACTTGGAAGCCAGGTACAGGTATGCCAAAGAGGGAGTCCCTGAGCTATAAGAAGACGATGAATAATTAATTCCACTTGCATCCAACCAACACTGAAAAAGGCAAAGTTTATTTGATCACAGAATTTTTCACGTGGTTGAAAATCTTTCTAGCTGATGTCATTGACACCTGAGCATTCCTATGTTAACCGCTACCCTTTTTTATTATCAAAGGGAACTGGGTACTGTAAAGTAACAAACTCACAAGCCAATAGCAGACTCAGTCCCAACACCACAGTCATTCATTAATGAATAAGAAATAATGATCTCCCCCATACTTTACTAGGATGAGAATGTAAAAAGTGCTCATACCTTCTTTCCATGAGCCGCTCCCATGCTACGAGGGGCAGGAAATCTAACTTCCCCCCTCGGTTAATGTCGCAGATCCTCACAATTAGATCCTTGACTTTTTGATAGCTGGCACTTTGCACAGTGCGTATTGTCCACCCCGACTCCAGAAAGGCACAAGCTGCATGAAGCACACACAGCCGCTGGCACACTGACAGGTCCAGTGTATTATACCCAGTTGGAGGAAGAAATCAGCAGCATCTTAAAGGAGATGAGCTTGGAATTTTCACTTGTCTTTTGCCATAAGAGGAAGCAATCTTTCCCTTAGTGGAGTGCTCTTGCCATGCACAATAGTACCTTTCATACAGGCTCGGCTGTTAAGCTGGGCTCCTGATTCAGAAAGGCTGGACAAGATTAGAGTAATTGCTCCTGACAGGCCAACATGTCACTGAATGCCAAGCAGTTTTGTAAGAGATTCAGGAAGCTTTTGTAGGAGAGGCAGGGCTTGGGAGGGTTTTACCTGGATTTAAAGATATTGTTTTGATACAACCTGGACACCTACAAAAGCTAAACTTCTTAGGGCACCACTGCAAAATATGAACCAGAGCCCTCCGCACTAAAGTGAATATATTCTTTAATTTCCTTTACTTTCCTTTTAATGCATTTCCTTTCTGTTTTTTCTTTCAATTCCTTTTCTTTCCATTTTCCTGTTTTCTTCCAATTCCTTTCCTTTCGCCTTTCAATTATTTTCCTTTCCTTCCCTTTTCTTTGTCTTTCTTTCTTTTTCTTTCAATTCTTGTATTTCCTTCTCTTTCCTTTCCTTTCCTTCTCTTTCTTCTTTCCCTTCCTGTTGTTTTTTTTTCTTTCATTTTCTCTTACCTTTCTCTTCCTTAACCTTTCCTTTTCTTTTTTCCCCATTACCTTTCCTTTTATTTATTTCATTTTCTCTTTATATTCCTTTTCTATTTTTTCTTTCCATTTGTTTTTCCTTTACTTTACCCTTCCCATTCTCTTCCTTTTCCTTTCCTTTTCCTGTTTCTTTTACTTTTGTTGAGATTTTTGGATCCTCCCTCTAGTGGCTGAGTGCAAGTCAGAGGTTTAGAAAGACAGCCAGATACCTAGTACTTACAAAGGGTCGGCAAAGGCAATCTCCATTAGAAAAGCTTTACTTTAAAAGACCATAGATTCAGTGTACAGGACATCACTCCACTTCTGTAATATTACTTAGTTACATAGTAAATTTGAACAAAGACCCAATTCCAACATGTTCAACCAATAACCAATAACATTATGCAGCCTTGGAGTGGCAGCTTCCATTTAAAGCCATTGTCAGTTTCCCTTTAAAGTTTTAGCAAATTCTAGATCCATTTAGAATACGTGGTCTAACTTTCAAATTGTCCTGCCACATTGGCCTGTTTACTATCTAATGTTTTGTGCTTTTTGCATGCTCCCCTTTCTCCCAATTTTGCTACTAGTTATAGCACCCCAACCGTACCTTGCTTGAGTTAGTTTCTGTTTACCCTTGCTGAGTAAAGGGCTTTCAGTGAGTCGGGAAGATTGAAATGTCTTTTCACCTACATGGAAAATCCAGGAAAACAGCTCATTGAGTCAGCAAGTTGCCACACTGTCCATACACCCGGGTCTCAGGAGGTATGACGTTTGCATAAAGCAGCACTTCAGACAGGACACAAACATGCCTCCCAACTGTCGCTTATTTGGGGGGACTGTCCCTCTTTTGGAACCAAATCCCTCTGTCCAGGAAAATACTAATAAGTGGCAAAAAATGAAGCCCTCTTGAGTTTAAAAAGTCAGATTTTGTCTATTATTTGTGATCCGCATCACTGGAGGAGTGGTAGGGAGTGTGTCCTTTGCTTAAATACTTTGTGTTATAACGTATCCCTTTTTCTCGGTTCAGAAAGTTGGGAGGTATGCACAAATACATTAGTCTATCTCACAGATATCTTTAAGGGGTCTTGCAAATAACTGTTCAGATGTTTGGGAGTAATTAAGAGATAAAAACCAGCATTCACCATAGGAAGCACGCCATTTAGCATATGTGATTGTGAAATTGGCACATTTTAATAAATCTCAGACTTCCATCTTTTTTGGTATCATCTTTTATGATTAGTAGGAAAATGTCGCCATCTAGTGGCAGAATACATTTTTGCCTTTAACGTCACTTTAATGCACATTGGGAATTTTAACTTTACTTTGCTAATCTGTATGCTTGCTTTGGATCAATGACTGAGGAAGTATTGAAGCCAAAGGGTTAGCTGGACAACTAGGATTATCAGGGAGAGGTCAGCATTAGCATCCCCCCATATTTCCCCTAGGAAAGGTTTATTTTAAAGGACATGTTTATGAATGGAAACAAAGTCCTCCAAGGCTCCCTAGCCCCCTCAATACGGTAAATTGTGTCAGTCTACACCCCCCTCCCTCCCATCCTGTTCCCTTGGCTAGTCCATACTTACCTCCTACTATGGCTGAAGCCCTTCTGCGCTAGTATTGGGCTGGCCGCACCTGCTCACTATGTCCCATAGACTTGAATGAAAATTATATGCACCTGACCTCACAGTATATAGCAGGGGTAGGGAAACTCTGGCATCCCAGCTGTGGTGCAACTACAAAATCCAATAGGCATTGCAAAACTCTGACAGCCATAGGCTTGACTCCCAGGGGCAGATGCATGGTGGAGTTTGTAGTTCCACCACAGCTGGAGGACAAAAGTTTGGCTACCAAAGGTATACAGGAACCACAGTGACTCCTACTCATTGCAGTTTATTTTTACAAATAGGCAGCAAGGACAAATAGAACCAAGTATCCTAAAGGTGGATGCCACTCCAGGGGATCCTCACAATATCACAGGACCAGGACCTCTCATTCTTCCAGTGGGCATTATTTAGGGCCAGCCATCTTACTTCATACACACAGCTCTTTTATAAAAGAGTGAGGGTGACATTAAAGAGATTCATACAGAGGCTGTTTTTGTCAGTTTCTTCTTTTTTACTAAAACAAACAAGTTAAACACAGCTTTCTTTTCAATGTTGGTGTTATGGGCTCAGCAGTGCAAAGCAGATACCTTAGGTTTACACATGATCTTCTTTATTAAACAGGAAAACAATTTCATTGCAGCCTATCAAATCCTTCATTTAATTCTCCCATCCAACAAAATCTCAACGGTTAGATGGACAAGAAGTCTTCCTTCAGATATTTTAGGCATATCTAAACCCAATAGCAAAAATGTAATATACTGCAGCTTAACAAGCCGTACATGCAGTGGCTGCATTAGTTTTCTTTTCTTTCCCTTTATTTTCACCATGTGATTGGCCAGCAAGTCTGCTATTTTTCAATATACTTTAGCAGGTTAAGCTGTCCAGCAAAAGTGCCAGATAGAGGGTTGTGACAAACCATTTCACACTGACAGTGATGCTCACAATGATCAGCTTTTGCACATTTATAGAAAACCTTTATCCCAAAAGGAAACAAACTGTGTCTGTAACTGCTTAAAAGGTGTTAGCTGGAGTTCAGATTTCATTTGTTAGTCCAGTCCATCTAAATCTGCTAATACATCGAACACTGCCCTCTCCACAGGGTGACAATACTGCTGTCCAAGAGTGGCTCCATTGTTCCTCCATAGCGTGCAGCCACTTGAAGTCAGGAAGTGTGTTACTGGCCAGATCACCAGGTGAAAATAAAGAAAAAAAGGGCCTAGAGAAAATAAAATAAATGCAGCCACCGCTGCAATGATAATCTGCATTTTAATACATTTTTGTTTCTGGGTTTAGATATGCTTTATTCAGGAAGGTCTCCTGAAGTTGCAGGCTACACCGGCCTAAACTTAATTTCTGTGTTTTTATAAGAGTAATGCTGTCCCATGCCGCTCTCCCAATTAACGCCATTTGCATAACTCTCATGTTTCCCCCTTAAATACAGCCCATTGAGATTAGAGTTATGACAGCTTCCATACCACCAAGCACCTTTAAAATCTGCTGCACAGTTGCTGCCGTATTCATCGTTGTCTCTGTCTTTTGTGGAAAAGGGACGGTTGTTATGATAGACCAGAGAGTCACCTGAAAATAAAACAATATCATTCATTGGCTTCTATACAATTTTGTAACCTTCTGCAATACTCTTTTCAAGTCTGATGTTGGTCAGTGGATTTACTGTCTACCATGACAAGCAGACATAGCTAACAAAATGCCTACAGTATATCAAGTCAAATGCAACTGTGGGGGTTTATGCGGCATAAAATATATGTTACGTGGCATAAAATATACACATATCTGGCAACACTAGGGGAGTAAAAGACAGATTTAAAAAGTGCCCTGCATGAAAGTGCAATGTCCTGCTAATTTGTAGTCCTGCCCCTTCATGTAAAAATAATGAAGGGGTTATTCACAAAGCTACCAAAGGCAGCTGAGTGAATAATTGAGCCGAAGTGAAGTGAGCAGAACTCTGTTGGGCTATTCACTTCAGCCTTGTACGGCTGCCTACGGTCAGCCGAACATGCTCTGCTCTGCATGTTTTGCTGAGCCGAAGTGCAGAAGGAGTTTATCTCAGTCGATTCAACATCTGGATCGGCTGAGCCGAAGCTCCGGCAGCTCCCTCGCTGCCGTTCGCCCCTATTCTCATAGGAGCCAAACAGCAGTGAGTGAATAGCCAAATGCCGCCGAGCGACATTCAGCTTGGCTATTCTGCTCAGTGCCTCCGAGGTACCGAGCAGAATAGAAAATAAGTGGAAAAAAAGTTGAAAAATACAAATAAAATCATTTTCAAAATAAAAAAAATAAAAATTAAAAAGAAAAAATATTTTAAAGAAAAAAAAAGCTGCACACTGACCTGACCGCATGCGACGGACTTCCGCCGCAAAATGAAGCATCTGACAGATGTCGCAAAAGAAAAACCTTTGGGCGGAACTAGCGGTGACAGCTAGCTCCGCCCAACTGTTTCCTATTGGCTGTCACCTGCCAGAGTCTTCTAGCAGGTCCTGGCCAATGAATAACAACTGGGCGGAGCTGGCTGTGATGTCACGGCTGTCTCCACCCAGCTGTTATTGTTTAATGACAGATCAGTGTCCCCTGGTCATTTGGGGACGTTGATCTGTCATTACAACTGGGCATAGCGAGCCGTGAGATCATGGCTGGCTCCCCCCAGCTATCATTTGTGTGGAGATCGGTCAGCTTTGGTCAACCTTTCTCCATGCTTCGACTGTCACTTCGGCTCAGTCGAGCTGAAGCATATGCTTTCGGGCTCAGCTGACAATAGGCCGCACAGCAGCCCTTCGTTTCGACTGAACCAAAGGGCGGAGGTGGCCGAAGCGAGCTGAAGGATCAGCCGAAGCTACGTCTGGATCCTACGGTTCTTTAGAGAATAAGTCACACCAAAAAAATAAGGGAGGAAAAAGTAAAGGATATTCATCTTAGAGCACGGCTTCTGGTCCCCTTGCCTAGGTGCCAGTGAGGTCACTCATGGAAAAAATGAGAGTCCAAAATCACGTGGCAGTGTGATCCAGCACCGTACATTCCCAAAATGATTTGGTGAGTGACATCACCAGCGCCTAGAGAAGGTGACTGAAAGGCGTGATCTAAGATAATTACTTTTTTTTACCTTTTTTTTAGGTGTGACTGAGCATTTTTACATGGTAGGTACAGTCTAATAAATATCTGAACCTTGAATTTTAATGTAAGGCCTGCTTTGTCATCTGACAGAGAAATATACAAAGAAAATAACAAGATATGTAAAACAGAAATCAAGATCACAAAAATAAAAAACGGAGAGTTAGTGACTGGGGACAAAGAGTTGGCAAATCTTTTAAATACCTCTGGTGTACGAAGGAAAAGGGTGGAGCTGAAGTCCATAATGGGGATGGCAGTGCCACAGGCTATAATGAACCACAATGTCTTAAAATACATATGGTCCAGAAACAGACAAAATTAAAGTGAACAAAGCACCTGGACCGGATGGCTCACATCCATGTGTCCTCAAAGAATGGTGCTCTGTTATTACAAAGCCACTGCATTTTATTATTAGAGACTCTTTAATGACTGGCTTAGCACCAATGGATTGGTGCAAGGTCAATGTGGTGCCTATATTTAAAAAGGCATCAAAGTCTTTACCAAGTAACTACAGTCCTGTAAACTTCATTTCTATAGGTGGGGAGATACTTGAGAGTTTCATAAAGGATCACTTACATGGGTTTTTGCTAGAAAATAATATTATAATATTGATATATTATAATAATATAAGCAATAGTCAGCATGGATTCACAAACGACAGAATTTGTTAAATAAATGGAAGTAAGCCATAACCTCGGCAAAGGAGCGGCTGTGGATATAGAAAACTTGCTTTCTAGGTATACTATATCCACAGCCGCTCCTGTGGATATAGTATAGTATGCTTTGCAAAACCGTTTTTTTTTACAGAGGCCAATACATATTCCAGATAGTATTGATTAAGGAAGAACTTCGGGTTTAAAAAAAATTAACGCTTTTTGCTGTTTTACTGCTGTGACCCAAGACTCAACATATAGTGGGCTACATGCTGACAGCGCAGAACCGCGCTGCAGCCTGACAATATTGTTGGAATCCACCCCGCCATCTGATTGATAGCTGGCTCTGCCTCTCTAGAGGCAGTTCCGGCAGTACCTGTCCCCCTCCCGTCTGTCCCTCCATTCAGCACTGGAGGAACAGAGAGGGGAGGGGGGGGGGAATCCCTGCGGGGAGCGGTGACTGACAGTCACCACTCTCTGCAAGAAGATGATCAGGAACTGAGCGATCAACGGTATGTGATCACTCAGTTCTCGATCTATGGAGCTGACGCGTGACAGCTTCAGTGTCACACATCGGCTCTAATTATGGGGAAGAGTGCATTTCACTCTAATTTTCCTTTAAGAAGCAAGGGTGAAAACAAATCATACCTTCTCCCATCCCTCCAACTATCACTTTATCGATGACTATGCTGACCCACTCAAACCTATGTTGTGATCTTGACAAGCTTTTCAGACCATATGTCCACATTAGTATATGATGTATTTCTGTCGTCTGTAAATTATCTGCTGTTGTAAGAAAGATGAATAGCTGATCGTGTTCTAATTGTATGAATATGACAAAAGACAATAAAAATTATACATTTTTTTTTACAATTTTTATAAGATGTAACATTTCTTTAGGTTTCAAATTGAAAAGATTTATACCTGCACTGCCTCCAGTAAAAACTCCAATCTTCAGCTTGTAATTATCCTCTTCTCCCAAAATGGCAAATGAAGCATAGGCAGCAAAACTGAAATTATTTTCAAAATCGATCAGGTCAACCCGAAACTCGTGTGTTCCTGCAGATGAATACATAAACGAAACCAGGGTTGTTCAGCTATCACACATGTAAGAGGCACCTTTTTATAAACACGACTATGCACAAGTGTGCAGGACAGTTCTACATTTGTGGGTGAGGATTCACATGAAGTGGACGGGGTTAGAGTGGAATCAAGGCGATTGGCTAAAATATCTGCAGAATTGGCAAGTATGCAACCGCCCTCACCAACCAATAGTAAGGCTTAGGAGGTGGAAGGGGTGTGGGTATGTTCTGAAAAAGGTATTTGTCCTCAAAATGCATGGGTCATCCAACCCGCTTACTATATGCCCAGGCTGTCATGGAACACCTGCTGGGGATTTGCCATCCCATTGCCTTGAGCTCACAATAGAACAGGACAGAACAGCACGCCTGCATCATTATATGAGTTCCAGGCTATGCAGGAGTAAAGATCACCCAAAACTGCCACTGGATCAGAAGATGAAGCATCTGTGATGTCCATGGAATTGATTACACTGGTCTGAAGACTGTAGGAAATGTATGAATGTTTAAATGAATGAATAATACAATTTTTTAAATAGTTGCTTATGGGGAAGAAGTCAGAAAAATCCTGAGGCTGGACTTTAGGGTTTACACATTTACTGGTTGCTATGTGCTGCTGCATTAAGTTTTTAAAGTGTAAGTATACTTTTAGATAAAGTGCACTTATTCTAATTGTCCCCCTCCCTTGACCTAAACGATCCCACCCTTGCAGATCTGTACTTACGGAGATCCAAGGGCTGCTGTTCCACTGTTTGTTGACATACAGCACTGCAAGCCTCCTGACTGGGAGACGGCCCTATAGAAATCTAGGAGGCTGTAATGTGCTGTTGCGGCCAGCAGAGGGAGCATTGTGGCGCTGGATGTGATAGAGGATCTCTGCAAGTACGGATCTGCGGAGGGGGAGGGTATAATCGTTTAGGTCAGAGACGAGGGAGGGAGGAAGGATAAGTACACTTTGTTTTAAAGTGCACTTAGCCTTTAAGTAGATTTAAAGATGGGTTGATCAAAAGACTAATTCCATGGCTCTCCTTGTCTATATACTGTAAATCCTTCAACTGTTGCAGATCATAAGTTGCTTGTTAGATCAGTGAGATAAAAAAGGCACCAGAGCAAGTTTTTTTAATTGTGTGAAAAATACCTAATTGTATTAATAAACACTGGTTGAGAGTGTGTTCAGGCACCAAGAAAAGAAAAAGATGTTTATGATATAAGAGTAAACATATTAATTACCAGATGATGTCAGCATATGGATATTATCATTCCCCAGCCAGAATTCACTAAGCTGGTTACCAAACCCTCTCTTGTAGTCCTTCCATTCTCTAAAAAAATTAACTGTGCCATCATAACGCCTCTGGAATACCTAAAGAATGAAATATATCACAGGGTTGCAAAAGAATACAGCTTTACAAAAGGGTAGAGAGGTCCTCTTTACTTTCTCCTTGAGTTTCTCCTCTCTACTCTCTTTCCTTGAGTTTCTCCATTTGAGAACCAATTAGCTAGTTAGTTTTTAAACTGATTTTAACTAATTTCAGCTTCTTGTAAATGACTTGTTAATTTAGATTTTGTATCAGATTACCTTCTTTGATCTATATAAGGTCCCACACTGAGCATAATAAACAGAAACGGCTTGACCTACTCCTGTGTGCCGTTTCTCTGTGATCACAGTCGGCAATATTCTCCTAGGTACCATAGAACCTTATCCCTGACTTCAACAGGGTAAAAGAGTGACAGGTGCTAATTCCTATGCCAGGATAGCACCAAGATGACTAATGATGAATAGGGTAACCTATTCTTGCTGGGCTAGTAGAAGTATTTACATTAAACTATGACTTACTATTACTAGCTATACAATGACCTAGGAACAATAAGCTCTGCAACTTGACCGTGGCAACATTTGGCAGTGTTGTATATGTGTACAATGAAAGGGAACTACAGTTTATATCAACAGTATGGGGCTGATTTATAAGACATTCTCATCACATTACTGCCACTAGGTGGAGTCAAGGAGCATACTAAATTCCTATGCTCTTCGTCTCCATGTAGTTGCAGTAATGCACTGTGAGTGACATACAAATCAGGCCCTTCAAAGGTCTGTTTATAAACTATTAGTAGGGCCATTCGCCTTATGAATATCTGTGAACATTTGTTCTGTGCGTTTTACGCCAAAACAAGCGTTCATGAGTTGTTTCTTTACAAGGGAATGCACTGTATTTTTTAAGAACAAAAAAATTTGTAAAATGAATTTTTTTCTTGTAATATTGCATTTTGGCCAGTAGATGGTGCCGAGGATCATAGGGAATGGAAACTTATTTCCTAACCTCCTTTAGCTCTATCTAGTGGTCATAATTCTATGTTACATGAAAACATTCGAAAATTCCACTTCTAAAATCTAAAAAACATTCATTTTAGCATATATTAGCACAGAGCGAATGTTCACAGATATTTGCAGGGTGAACAGCCCTGTGAATTATTTTTAAATAGACCCCTATGTGTCATCATTGTCAAAACACCATGTAAAAGTACGAAGTACTGGATACTGGTATAAAATATTACAAATTATGGTAATTAAAAAAAAATCTATAAGAATTAAAATTAAGTACATGCCAGGAACTACTTCCACTCTTAGAACTGACCTGGTCAGCTCTGCCCCACATAGGAGTATGAAAAGTTCTAAATTGTCACTCCTGGCCAACACACTGATTGATAAGTGATATGCCAAAGATCATCACACTGCGCCAGAATAAAACCTGTTTCCTGGCCTCCACATGTCAGCATACCAATGAGGCAGAGCTGACCCATTAATCTGCTGACATGAGGATGGGCCAGAAAAAGAAAATGATGGTAAGTATGATATAACATTTTTCCGTATTCCTGGCCTCCTCATGTCAGCATAATAATGGCTCAGCTCTGCCTCATTAATATGATGACAGGAGGATGGGCCAGGAAAGGAAATTTACGGTAAGTATGATATAACAATTTTCCGTATTCCTGGCCTCCTTATGTCAGCATATTAATGGGTCAGCTCTGCCTCATTGTTATGCTGACATGAAGATGGGCCAGGAAAGGAAAATTACGGTAGTATGATATAACAATTTTCCGTATTCCGGGCCTCCCCATGTCAGCATATTAATGGGTTAGCTCCGCCTCATTAATATGCTGACATGAGGATAGGCCAGGAAAGGAAAATTACGGTAAGTATGATATAACAATTTTCCGTATTCTGACCACTTTTTCATTGTGCTGGTGTTAAGTGAAATTGTGTCTCATCTCCAGTGGTACATCTTGAAAACAATAACATTTCACTTACAATCCATCCTCCTCCTTCCGTATCCATGTCACAGAAAACTGTTAGTGACTTCTCCCCGTCAGGATATATGGTGTACCAGCCACTGAGGAAATGGCCCAGGTTGAGCAGTTCTTTGCAGTTCCGTGCAGCTACAGGAGAAATACAATCAAGTGAGAGAGTGTGGCTCAAACTTGCCAGACAAGGAATCAGCCAAAATTTGATCTGATGGTGGCCCTTCTGGCACTATATTAAATATGCCCACATGTTTCAGCCCAAGGGCCTTAATCATAGCTATCATTATAGCTCTTGGTGGTGGATTTTCCACCCACCTTGTTTGACTTTTGTTGAGCCGGTGGAAAATCTCATAGCTATAAGTAAGGTCCTTGGGAGCAGAAATGCGCCAGCATGTTTGATATACCTTAGGTCATGTCTTATACCGTGAAATAATAAAGTGGACTACAAATACTGCTACAAATACTTTGGGAAGCTGACAGTATTTGTGGCAAAAGTTAAGCACCGGTGTCACAAGTTGTGAGATTCCACACGAAACGTCGAGCTTCCACTATTGCCTTTACTTCCTGTTGGTTACGTTTGGTGATGCAGGAATACAGTGAGTCCATTCCCAATTCTGAACCCCAACCTCTTAGCAATGCAGCTTGACATGCTCTTATAGGCAGTAGGGAAGCCAAGTGTGGTGCAGATCCTCCTTACTGCACTGTGTCTACAGACTCTTCAAGAGTTGTTGCAGACAACCCTCTTTCTTCTTTTGAAGGAGCCACATGCAGCAATATCATCACCTTACCATGTGATAGGAATGGCCCTTGTGGCAAAGTAGTGTATGCATAGAAACACAGTTTTGACTGTCCCAGAATAATATTCCCAAGACTCACCATATCCTCGGTCTGGAGTGCCCGTGTCTCCTTTCTCTCCTAGTGAAGATAGAATATAGTGAGTTGGGTGCAGCCTTCTTTGTGTGCACTATGGCATATTACTTTCTAATATTTAAAGGATAAATGCACTTTCAAACAAATTGCACTTATCCCCCCCCCCCTAATCCTGACCCCAACAGATCCCACCATCCGCAGATACATACCTACCACGATCCGATGCCAGCGACCCCTAGGGATTGTGTATATCTTGTGCCGCAATTCCTCCCTCTATTGGCAATGCCTGTGTAGTAGAGCCATATGCACTTCTATGGGACTCTACTGTACAGACATAGCCAGGAAAGAGAGGCCATGCAGCATGGAATGTTTTTCTGCAGGCAGCCTGTAGTGTGGGGGTGTGGGACTACAATTCCCATGAGGCATTGCAACACTGACAGTTACAGGCATGACTCCCAGAGGCAGAGGCATGTTAGGATTTGTAGTTAAAGCACGCCTGAGGGCTGGAGTTGTCCACCCCTGCAGTAGTGGGGGGTCCTGCAGGGCCCCTCCCATAGCTCTGATCTCCGGGTATGCAAAAACATTTGGTGAACACAAAGTGGACATACATTCTTTGTAGCTACTGAAGAATATATGAGGAATATATATGAATGGAATTTTTGTGCCTGGAGTTCAGCTTTAGCATACAGTTTACAGCTGATTGGAGGAAAATGGTGTTTTAGTTTTGCATACACTTTCAAAATCTGTATTTTGGATATTAAACAACTCAGCAAATCACCTCGAGCCTGGGCTTGGTGATATTAGCTGGGGTGGTGTTAAATATCTCGCACACTTCCAGTCTCGTGGTCATAATCTTCACATAGGAAATACATATCTTGATTATACTAGACAATAATAACAAATAAAGTTCTTACCTTTTTGACCTTTAACTCCGGGAACACCAACTACCCCTGTACCAGAAACAAGCAAAATAAAATATAATGAAGTTAAAAACAGTTTACGAGGATTTGAACTTTTTTTGCTCCAGACCTGGGACATGTGTTCTTCAATAAACCAAAACTATACTCTCGTTACCTGTTAATGTTAAAAACCCTTTTACTGCAAGTTACAAAGGTATTTATGGAAAAAAACTAAAAATTAATCTGTATTTCTATATTGAATTTCCATAAGTTAAATGTCACTCCTAATAACCATATCACTAGAAGTTTGTAAACTTACTTTTTGAAGGTAAGTTTACATCCCCATAGGATGTACTTCCTCAATGCACTGACACAATTTCACTGAGGAAATGCCATCTGAACTACAACTCAATGTCTGACCAATGTAACATTCTCATTGCTTGCTGGAAGCGATGCATTTTGGGCTATGTAGTCATGAGAAATGGAGATTGCATCACATCAAGCAGCAGGGAAAGAGATACAAAGCACACCGGGAATCCAGGATATTGATGAAAGTGATGGGCAGACGGAAGGCAGCACTCACTACATAAAAGGGATTTTTTTCAAGTAAGCTTTGATTGTATTATAAAAAACAACTCTAGTATGTATTCCTATTACAACGCTGATGTTATAACAGGAGAGGATATGCTGGGACTTTACATCTCATAAATATTAGATATACTGTACATGTGAGCAGCAATCTTTGTTCGGTATGTAAGCTCTGCTTCCTGCTCAGTAGTACTTCACGGTGGTTATGCTTTACAGTTTTCTCAGTGTAATTTTACAGTCTAAGATATCTGGAATTATAGGGATCTAGCGAGGCTATTGAAGAACAATCACAAGATGTCTCCAATAAAATGTTAAATGTTTTCTGGTTTGTATCCTTCTTATAAATTAGTGTTGGAAGGGTGAAGCCCTACTTTCCAAATGAGAAAAGACAATGCAGTCTCTTATAACCTTCAGCAGGACAGCTTCTTAAATAAAGTATAACTACAGGCAAAACTTAAATTTTACAGGGTTATTCAAAAAAGAGTTATTCACTTTCCGGGGTTAGCTATGTTGTCCTAGATAGTACACTTCTCCTGCCTTCTACACAATCTTCACCCTTTTGTGAATATCCCTGTCAGATTTGCCTCATGACGAGGGAGCATGGAGTCGGCTCCCCGGCCAATCAGGAAGCTGGGCACCGTTTCATTACACGGCGCCCGGCTTTCTGATTGGCCAGAAATCTGGCTCCATGCTCCATTCTAGTGACGAGAAGCTTGGGGATGGCTTCCCTTCTAATCAGGAAGCCGGGTGGCGAGTTTTTACACGCCGCCCAGCTTCCCGGCTAATCAGGAAGTCATTACACGCCGCCTTGCTTCCTTAATGGGACTTCTGGTATCGGTATACTTTTCGGTATCGGCGAGTACCGAAAAAACAGGATAAGAAGTGAAGAGAAATCTCTGTAATGAGACACAAATGGCAAAAAAACCCCAAAGAAACAAAAACAAACTACAAAACAGTTTTAACTCTCCCATACTCTATCTGAAAATAAAAAGAAAGTTTTGGTTTTATAAATGTTTTCAAGAAATTCTTCTAAACGGAGCTGTGGTGTAACAGAAAAAAAATCAAACTTCTTTTGGTCCGATGAAGGAAAGATATGACAAATACATGTAAAACCATACCTGGTGGCCCGGCAGGTCCAGCTTTCCCAGGTTCTCCTTTTGCTCCTGGCAGGAAACAGAGGAATAATATTTATCTTAATTTATCTCTTGGTCCAGTAACCACAATGACAATAAAACCATGTCTGGCTTTGACACACTAGTCTATACCTAGCACCTGGAATCTCTGACTTGGCCGAAGCAATACAATAATATGGCTCATTCATTCCTTAAAGGAGAACTATGAGGTGAGTGCTTTTCACTCACCTCATAGTTCTAGCCGACCTGTGACAATGAGACTGTCACAGGTCGGCTCAGTAGATCTCTAGGTGAGCGAACACATACCGGGTTCGCTCAACTCTCGATCCTGTCACGGCTCTCTGCCGTGACAGGGGAGGGGCTGGATTCCCCTCTCCCCGCTCCAATCCGCCAGCGCTGACTGGCGGAACGGACGGGGGAGGGGGCGGGTACAGCTGGCTCTGCCTCCATATAGGCAGAGCTAGCTGTCACTCACGCAGCTGGGCGGATCTCGACATCGATGTCGGGATCCGCTCCGGCTGCGGCATCTCAGTATACCGCGAGCTGCAGCTCGCGGTATACTGAGCCTAGGGTGACGGGAGGACGCTAGTTTGTGTCCTCCCGTTACCCTAAGGAGAACTATGGGGAAAAGCCCTAACCCCATAGTTCTCCTTTAAGAAAAAACAGTATAGGATTGTCTAAACAGGGAAATTTATCAAAACTGGAGCAGACAAAATATGGGGCGGCTGTGCACGGCAAATAATCAGCTTCTCTCTTTCATTTTCAAACCTCAATGGAACAAACTGAAGAGAGAAGCTGATTGGTTACCATGCACTGCTGCTACAAATTTTGTCTGCTCCAGTTTTGATAAATTACCCTCACTGTTTTATGGAAGGTGGGTATTCTTAAACTCGTGTTTTCATGTCACCGATGCAGATAAAGCATATCTAAACCCAAAAACAAATTCTGTATATTGCATAAGGTGTCTTCATTAGTTTTCTTCTTTTAGCATTTTTCTCTTTTATTTTTTCTTTAATTTATGGAAATAACACACTTCATGTCCCTGGGTGGCTATGCTCCCTCACTATATCTATGCAGAGAGCCATTGTTGGCAGCCAGGCTGATCTTCAAACCTCTCAAGTACATGGGGGTTGGTGGCATTAGTAGTGGCATTACAGGATGAAGATAATATCATATTGTGCTTCCATGTCAGCTCACAGGAAGTGGCAAAGTCACTGCGTTTCTAGCAGGTTCAACAGGTATTTCATGTACTTGCTGAAATGTTTTTTGAGCCTGAAAAACTAATACAGCCACCATGTCTATGGACTGGTGAACTATAGACTGGATGGATGTAATATATTAAATTTGTGCTTTGGATTTTGTTATAGGTTAAGACTTAGCAGAACACAAAGTTCATTCATTACCTGAGAAGCCAGCATAGCATTGGTCCCATTCACACTACTGAGTTGTGGCAACACCTGCGTTACCGCGAGAGTTATTGCACCTAACATTGCAGTGCAATGCACTGCTGAAAATGTTGCATGCATGATTTTTGTTTTTTTGCACTGGGCAGGGCAGCCCTTTCAAATAAACACATGGCTAGTGTTAATGGACCCTCAAAGCAATGGTTTCATCAAAATGACAAACCAAATCAGAGGACAGTCTACTTCCTTGCAGTGCTGCTTGGCAAAATAAAAAAGACAGTTTCCACAAAATTTTGGCATAAAGAAGATTGACAATTTCACTGTGATATCATATGTTAAAATGTCAAACTCACTCGTAGCCGGAATGCATAGGGAAGGGGAGGCAATGAAAACATGGCTCCTGTGCATATTATATGTGATTATTCATACACAGGTAACTATTCACTAACCTTTCTCTGAGGGGGCTCCAGGTTCACCCTTCTGACCAAGAGGACCAGGCAATCCAGGACATCCACGAAGTATAGCCAACTTCTCAGAGCCTTCAATGCCTACAAGCTTTACATCTGTAGGGAAATATACATTAGGGGAGGGAAATATAAGATAAAACATTGTTATTTGTAAAAGTGACATCATTGTCTGCATTACATACTTGTCACCCCTGCACTAAGTGCGTTACTTACTTCTGACCGCTGCACTCTGTGTGCTACTTATTCCTGACCCATGCATTCAGTGCATTACTTACTCCTGACCCCTGCACTCTGTAGGTTACTTTCTACTGACCCCTGTGCAGTATATGCGTTACTTACTTTTGCACTCAGTGCGTCACTTACTCCTGACCCCTGCACTCTGTGTGCTACTTATTCCTGACCCATGCATTCACTTCGTTACTTTATCCTGACCCCTACACTATGAAGTTTACTTTCTACTGACCCCTGCTCTCTGTTCATTACTCTCCTGATCCCTGCACTCAGTGTGTTACTCTCTCCCGACCCCTGCACTCTGTGCATTACTTTTTCCTGACCCCTGCACTCTTTCGTTTACGTTATACTGCAGGAGTCAGTATAACGTAAACGAAAGAGTGCAGGGGGCTCCAGGTTCACTCTGTGCATTACTTATTCCTGAACCCTGCAGGTTACCAACTACTGGCCCATGCACTCAACACCTCATTGCTCTCCCTGGAGTGCCTAAATGGGGACATCATTTTGTGGGTGTTGTTAAACAAACACGGGCATGATCAGTAGGGCCTACTGCCCCTTTTTTCCAGATTAAAGTGAACCTGTTGCTGCAAACACTGAAAGTAAAAGCACTCTAGGCATATGGGATAGCAAGTCCCCCACTATGTTGCTATGGCTTCTCGCTACAGGACACAACAGTTGTGTGAAGGTTGGCACCAAGCAGGGGACATGCTTTCTGAGTGAAGAACACAACCTTAACACACTGCCCACCAGACAGGTAAGTGTAAAGTGTCTTCTTTTACAGGTTGGTTTTCCTTTTAGTTTTTTTGTAAAGGGTAACAGAATTGCTTTAACAGAAACTCTGTATAGAAATGCACTACTAAAAGATTTTTAGTACAGTAATCCTTTCATCCAACCTCTAAATTATTGCATTTCATATTTTGAAAAAGTAGTATTGAAAAGGTACTTGTTGGTTTAACTGGTATTTTTTATTAATTTAATCTAGATTGATGTTATTCATTTTTTTGTGGTCCGCATAACTTAAGGCATAGCAGGAGGTGTTTCCTATGTTGACATACTTTGTGCTATAAGGTGTCCCTCAGAAACCTGAGAGGTTTGTAAACCTCTCCAAACAATGCAGAAGTATGCTAAGCTAACAGCACTAGTAGGTAATGAAGAAAAATGTTTAAGTTTAAATACTCTCTTTCTTTTATTTACTGCCCACAGGGCCGCCGTCAAGGGGGTATGGCCGATATTCAAGTAAGGGGCCCGGGCCGCGTGAGGGGCCTGTGAACCTTACATGAATATCGTCCGGCAGCCGTACAGTTGACTAGCAGCAGGTGGAGGCGGCCGCCCGGGCCCCGCAGCACCGGAGGAAGCCGGGGCCCGCACACTCGAGATCCTCAGCTGGTGTTCTCTGTGCGGGCCTCCGGTGTCCCCCTGTCTGTGACTGAGTGCACATTACGTTTTTAAAGATGGCCGCCGCGAGTAGCGGCGGCCATCTTTAAACCTGGCAAGTGCCCACATCTAATTTAATATATTGCCGAAACGGCAATATATTAAATGAAAATCATTCCCTGGTGGTCCAGCGGGGAATCAGTATGACCTGCATCTCTTGCTGATGCAGATCATACTGATCGATCACTCGTGGTGCCGCCGCTGATTGGCAGGGATCAATTAGTATGGTCTGCATCAGCCTGAGATGCAGATCACACTGATCCTCCACTCGACCATTAGGATAATCCAAGTGCCACACTGGACCCCAGGAATGCAGCCCCCCTTCCTGCAAAACAGGTAAGCAGGGGAGGGGGAAATTTTTTAATTAACAAATGTTATTAGTTGTGTGTGTGTTTTTATCATGTGTTTTTTTAATGTGTGTGTGTGATTTTTTTTTTTTTCCATTAATGAAGCTATGTGTGTCTGTGTTTTTAATGAGTGTTGTTTATGTATGTTTCATTACGTGTGTGTGTTTTTTTTTAACCACTTCCTGCGGGTTGACATGAATGTACGTCCTCCGCTGGAAGTGGTTATACCAAGAAAACGGCTGCTCCTGCACACCACTTGCAGTGCGTTCCGGCCGGAACGCACTGCATCGGATTGCGGCCGACTCACATTGTGCCTGGAGTGCGTTTGGGTGCAAGCACTATTTTGATCGCACTGCACCCGAACACACTGCAGGCACAATGTGCCTTGCGATCCCATGCGGGCAATCGCATTGCAGCCGGAGGGCGTGGCTACGGCGCCATTTACTTCAATGGCCCACTGTGCCCCCTCCAGCCTGGCCAAAAAGTGACCCGGCCGCAATGCGGGCAGTGCGTTCTGGCCAGAATCGGACCAGAACGCACTGCTTATGGTGTGAACTAACCCTAAGCCTTGCGTCCAGTAGACATGTGCAATTCGTTTCGGAAAATTAGTTTTCCGGACGAAATTAGTTAGCGGTAGTCTGTACGCTAATTTTCATTGCAGCAAAGTGACAATTAAAATTTTTTTAATGTCACTTTGCTGCAATGAAACGAACGATACGAACATGAAATATGTACAGAGACTGATGTGACTGATGATTTGATGATAAATATAACACAGTAGATGATATGTTTGAGATTTCACGAATATACAAAGGAATATGAAAACCTAAGAGGAGGGAGGGGGATAGAACATAAGAATGGGGCTGGAGAGGAATATGGTATTATACCTATTGTAATAACAAAGTTTTTATGTCTTATTTGAATCCGTGAAATATTTGTTTTGTGTGGAATACTAATAAAAATATATTAAACAAACAAAAAACGATTTATAACATCTCCTACAACATTGATAACATCCCCTATACCTATAACATATATCCCTCATCAGGAGCTCGGTCCCCTTCCATGTCATACACTCTGGTGTCCTTCTCCTCTGTATTATTAGCCTTACTACCTAGCAACATATAATGATCAAAATGGAAGGACATGTTGGTTCTCATAATTTGAAACAAAGTGTGTTAAAACCAATGACATCTCCTTTACATACACTGTGCATTAAAACTTAGTGTATCTCAATGGACAAGATCAGCAGTAGTCTAGTCCAGGTCAACTTGTTTCTCTGTTAATATTGTGACATTGGTTGTATGGAACTGTCAGGGCTGCCCTATAGGCATTAGATTATCAGGACTGTCATCTAATGTCTATGAGTACCTCTACGTTATCTCTTCTACAGCTTTGTGATTGGACTTACCTGGGCAAGTTTCTTTAGTGTCTGTAAGAGAGGTCATCAGGCACAATATAGAGGCTACCAAAGTCCACATACTGGCTAGAGATGTACCTTGCTGTTCTTCAGGTCTCTTGCAGAATGAGGTATTGTTAGTTTTCTGTTTAATAAGATGTTTTAGTAACTCCTCCCCATGGGCACACTCTTCTTTCATAATCCACAGTGATTCTTGCACAATTCAAAAAGTTATCTGTGTTACTCATCTGCTCCAGGAATTATCTGCTTTTTACATCACTAGCTACTTGGCAAGTGTAAGGACTACTGTGTCTCCAATACGAGCTTCATCTGTCTGGCTCCAAACAATGTGGAAATGTGCTAATCCAATCATGTCAAACAATCAACACCATTGTTAGCTAATGCAAGAAAGACGTTTAAAGGGATCAATTCACAAATAAGTTTGCTTCTTATTCAGCTGGTATCTCCTTGATAACACGCCTGTTTACTCTCATATCTTCTAGACCCTTGGTTCTCAACTGGTGGGTCGTGACCCATTGTTCAGTGGGTCGCCGCGTGCCTTCCACTTTTCTAGGTGAGAGGCTTCTCAGCCTCCCCCTAGTACAGCACAGTCAGTTCTCCTGCTGAGCAGCCATTCATATGCTGAGTGTGGGGTGGGTTGGAGCTATGGCCGCGAGGGAGCTCCATCCATACATGCATTGCTTATAGCTTCCTCACATGTCCTGTAGAGATGCCTGGACTGGAGTGACGTCACATTCCGGCTCCCGGCACCTCTACAAGGCATGTAAGGGAGCTGTACCAACAATGCACATATGAATGGAGCTTTGTCACAGCACAGCAGCCCACACTGGACCCCAGGCTGAGGATCCACTCCAGTTCTCATAAGGTAGGGAGACTGAGCGGATCTTAAAAAAAAAAAAAAAAATGTGGAGGCTATATGTGTGTGAGATTGTGTCTGTGGTTGTATGTGTCTGTCAAAGTTTTTGAGGGCTCGTCCACACTAGTACAGTGCGTTAATTGAACAGTTCTGTGCAATTATGCGCTGTACCATGCAATCGCACCTACAACGCACTCTATTGTGGGGAGTGTGTTGGGTTGTCAATAATTTAAATGGCACCCCAAACGCACCTCCTTCCCACAGTTCAATCACCCGCACCGTAACACATGGTACTGCAATGCCGTGCGTTCCATTGCAGTATGTCTTGGGTCGCAACTTAATGACCAAGGACAAATGTGGGTCCTGAGGTTACACAGGTTGTGAACCACTCGTCTAGACCCTAAAGCTGGTCAAAGTAAAATAAAAAGAAATAAAAAAACATACAGTACATCTCTGCAATACATGCACATTTCCTATGTTTTATCCCTTCAAAGACCCTGCAAGTACAAATAAATACCTCTTGATTAGGGATGAGGTACATGGGCTAGTGGCAGATCCAGTGGGTTTAAAATTTGGGGTCCAGGCAAACTAATGAGAACATTTGTTGGTCTGATTTCTTTGTAACCATTATGTGCTGGCTGTGGGACAGGGTGATTTACAAACAGGAGATTGTGGGGGACAGGGGAAGAGCGTTGTCACCCCATAACACAAAGTGCCCAAACAAGGACCTTTACATCAGCTTCACCAGCTGTTATTTTTATGAAAGATAGTGATTATAGCTTTCCAAGTGATAAACATGTTAAAGCTTATGTAGCACTAATCCCCGAAGGAGCCACCAGAATAACCCAGTTATTTCTGTCCCCAAGCCAAAATGTACCACCCAAGTAGGATCCACAGCACACCAACACACCTTACAAAGTTTTGTAAGCAGTTTTACTTAACAAATATATAGATTTTATCAAGCATTGCATACAAAGACATAACAATTGAAGGAACAATAGTCAACAGTATACATCAAGTATTCAGACAACTGCGACTATCTATATGCTGAGGTATGCAGTACCGGACTATCTCAGAGACTATCTTTAACCTTGAGCACTTGATTGCTAATGTAACAGTCCCAATTAATATCCAACTCTCCATACTACTGGCCAGTAGCAATAGTCTAGGCTAGCCATCGTTGAGGCCCATACTGTATTGATTATGTGAATTGCTGAAATCACATAAATTGGCCAAAGGCCTCTCACCACTTCCCAGGTCAATCTTGCAGTGGTGATGTCTGTCAGCGAGAGATGGGCGTCCCCTTTCTCTTAAGCCAACACAGCCCTGGTCATAGGAAGATGCTGGGAACTTTCTCTAGAAATGTCTTCAGGCCTCCCGTAGATTGAAGGGCCTTTTGGAATTCCTCACTGTACCAGATGGTCCGTGCGTCCAGGCTACGATGTCCCCGCTGTAGCAGTGATGCAGTGTCCCATTGGAGCGATCAAACGTGCAACACTGAGCGCCCGTGAAATAAACACTAATGCAATTACAGTGCCCATATAACTGCTGGAGGCAGCACACCCCTACTAAGTTTTACACATTAACTTAGATTAACTTTGTTTCTCAAACACAGTAAAACTCTGATTACTACAATCATCCAATCATATACAAGCAATTGCTGTTTTAAATACCTTATTCACTAGGCTAAATGAACTTTCATTTTGATGAGTGAACATGCTCCACTCCTTTAGTAAATCAACACGCTCGTTTAGATCTGTCTGCTCTGAGCAGGGGAATGAGAGTGAGGAGCTAATTGACATTGGGAGCCAGCCCAACCTGGGTCTGTCCTTTTTAAGTGCCAGTAGTGGCAGATGGAGTGCTGACAGGCTGAATTGGATGCAGGCAGCTCAGATCACATGCTGTGCATTGCCCAGTAGGACCCCTCTGGTGTGCAGTAGCAACGGCCACGTGAGTTATTTTGAGCGCCAGTTTTAGCAGGAGACAGAGTTATATGAAGTTTGTAACTGACTGTGGCCCCCCCAGAAGTCTGAGCCACCCCCTGAACCTGAGGAGCAGCTCTCGTCATCATTGAATGTGCACCTCTGGGGTAGCTGTGCAGGGATAATGGTGGCTCTGAGGAAGCTGTGCGGGGATAATGGTGGCTCTGATGTAGCTGTGCGGGGATAATGGTGGCTCTGATGTAGCTGTGCGGGGATAATGGTGGCTCTGGGGTAGGTGTGCGGGCTAATGGCGGCTCTGGGGTAGGTGTACGGGTTAATGGCAGCTCTGATGTAGCTGTGCGGGGATAATGGTGGTTCTGGGGTAGGTATGCGGGGGTTAATGGGGGCTCTGGGGTAGCTTGCGGGGTTAGTGGCGGCTGTGAGGTAGGTATGCAGGGTTAATTTAGGCTCTGACGTAGGTGTGTGGATTAATGGCGGCTCTGAGGTAGGTGTGCGGTGTAATGGCGACTCTGGAGTAGGTGTGCAGGCTTAATGGCGGCTCTGGTGTCGGTGTGCGGGGTTAATGGCGGCTCTGGGGTAGGTGTGCTGTTTAATTGTGGCTTTCGGGTAGGTGTGCAGGGTCTTGGATTAGCCACTCCCCCATTGCTTGGTGTGGCACGCTGTGTCTGGCCGCCTTGTGCCAGAAGCAGCGTTGGAAGCATATGGGGTCCTGGCAGGCTCTATTGGAGGCAGCTAAGGATGATGCGCCAAGGAAGACCAAACCGCTGGTGTCCAACGTCCTCCTGAGTAGGATCTGAGTTACATAGTCTGACTGCTCTATATCGGCTGGGTGACCTTCTACACCGCTGACCTCTTTGTGCCCCCTGACCCAGCACCAAAGCTCGAGTTTAAAACATTGTGAGTGACCTGGGTCCAGAGTTGAGTGGGCGGCAGCTGGCTGGGCAGACAGAACACTGGCAGATGCACTGGGGGGCAACGGGGTAATTGAACTACCCCTATTGTGGTAATTGAACTACCCCTTTTGTGGTAATTGTCTGCTGGGTACTGTTTTGGTAATCCTGAAGCGACACAGCACCACCTTCACGGAATCATCGGCCGTGCTGGGCCACCTGAATTGGTGGTATTGTGCCAGAGTTGCTGGAGAACTGTGAGCGCTATTTTGGGAGCACTGACCTGTACAGGGTGTTGAGGATGGCTGGGGAGGTGGAGATCCACTGAGGTATTACAAGACTTCTCTGTAGCAAGCTTCCTATATTGTTGCAAGGTTTGTATGTTGGTTGTTGCAAAGCTTGCATACCGTGGCAAAGTTTGTATGCTGGTTGTAGCAAGACTTTTGTGTTGCCTGTAGCCCTCTTTACTTATTATTGGCTGGCCCTGCCCCTCAATTGTGCTTCCATGTTTGGCTCCGCTCCTGGATTGCAAGGGTGTTGGGGGGGGTCATGTGATATGGCTGCTCAGTCTAAAATGCCCGGGCCTATTTTTTTTGTCCCAGTCTGGCCCTGTTCGCATCAATCCCTGCTCTCAAGGAGCTTACAATCTAAGGTCCTTATCGCACATTCAAGGGCCAATTTAGACAGGAGCCAATTAACCTTCCAGCATGTCTTTGGAGTGTGGGAGGAAACCAGAATACTCGGAGGAAACCCACACAAACACAGAAAGAACATGCAAACTCCTTGCAGATAGTGGTCTGGATTTGAACCAGGGACCCTCAGTGCTGCAAGGCAGAAGTGCTAACCACTAGGGACCCACTGTGCTGCCTATCTTATCCCAGTAATTTCTACAGTAATTCAGCATGAAACAACTTCTGTACAGGAGCTTCCTGTGAAACAGACCAGTTACTACTGATCTCTCTATTTGTACAGGGCAACTGGTCTTGTCTCCTCTCCTCTTGTAGTTTTCTACAGACAGCTGGTAGTGGGTGGACTTGCTGAGTACCACCCACTGCTCTGCTGTGTGCACAGGCTATGTAGAACCTGTATTCCTATCCTCTGTGGCTAGTAAGGAATATAATTAAATATTTCATTTAATCAGCTTATAAAATATCAAATATTTGTATGTAGGGCTGCAACAACTAATCGACATAATCGATTATAATCGATTATTGAAAAAATGGAACTTAACACTCTAAACAAGTGTTCAAATCTAGCTATATGTCCGATACGTTCAGTGTGATATTTGTTCGATTTGTAAGGTTTGATCTTTTACATGGCATCAGATTTAACTCCCCTGCTTCCATCCCCACCCAATATTTTCCATCCATTTTACCATCTATTATTTCCTTAGTTTGGTTTATATTA